TCTGTACGGACATTATGACGTCACTTGCTTGTCATGTCACAAATGATCCCGACCTCGCTTTGGATCACTCAAAGTCTTAGGGAGGCCACAAGGTAAATCTGATTGTTTAACACAAATATGTCACCGATAATATGCCTTTATAACTTGTGAACTAGTCACACTAAATACATTACAAGTGTCTGAATTTGGCCGTTAGAAAACCGAACGTTCCAGTACACCCGGTCTTTTTGTGTACATGATCGTTTATATATAATTCAGCTCTACTCTGCATGACCCACGAGTAATAAACACTTGTTTGCAGGCGTCACGGAAGAAACCATGCGTAAAATGTGGAGATTTTACACGCTCCTCCCACCTGAAACCAGATCATCCATTATTTTTAATCTGGGAAAGTAACACGAAAACTCAATAGTGAATATGGTTTTACGTCTCTTTTATCAATATTCACATTATACCACGGCATCGGACACCAAGGTATGGGACCCGTGAAGATCCGGGTTAGAATAGGTCTTCAGCAACCCATTATGCTTGGCGTAAGAGGCAACTAATGGGATTGAGTGGTTAGGCTCGCTGACTTGGTTGATGCATATCATCGTATCCCAATTGCGTTGATCGATGCTCATGATGTCAATCACTGGATTTTCTGGTCCAGACGGTTATTTGCAGACCGCCGTCATACAGCTGGAGTATTGCTGAGTGCAAACAAACAAACCAATGTAGATTGTCAAACCCGGGTTTCGGCGTGCATAGCTCGCAAATCTCCAGATCAGACACATGAGGTGCTGTACATGTGTTAATATGTGGTGTTTTGGTTTCACGCTTCATTGCTATTCAGACTCATTGATAGATCAGGGCTATATCACGCTTCATGTATACATCACAAGATTCGGAGTGTTAACATGGATGGGGTTTGGTTGCTTACCAAATCTACGCTACGCATTCGTGACTAACTAGTGTCATTCTGAGACAAGGCGAGTGGCAACTCGTACATCTCTGCAAGGATTTGATATTGGCGAAAAAAGGCTTAGGGATAAGGCTTTCACAGAATTAAAACTTAAGACTTCACATATGATTTACGGGGAATTTTGGCAGAAAACCCCTTTATATCCAAATATAAGATCGCTACGTTATAAATCGCAAAGAACATTGAAGATCGAAGCGGGGTTTATCTACGAAGAAACATTGTTCTGTCATGACGTCATTCTTGGAGATTCGAACATGCCCTCGCAACTGATGACGTCGTAGATTGGATGACGTTATTTTTTGAGAGAGAAGTGTCGAGTGAGTTGTTCCCCATAGATGTAGCTGGGCAACACCGAAAAAGCCATTGCCGAACGATCCGATCTTAACGTATCGGATAATTGGAGAATATCCGTGAAATACCAAACGAAACCCAACATGTTTATGAAATTGACTTGTCCGACTTTACGTTCAAATTGTCTCCAAGGAATCATCATTATTTACATACTGGTAAATATTTGTTGAGCGTGTACATTTTATTGACATCAATAAAGAGGCTGTGCATCATGTTGATATCTCATACAAGAAATAAAAGACTCGTCATTCGTACATACTAAGATGCTCCGCTAAAAGATCAAAGGCGCTGACTGTACGATGGTGTTTTAGCTTATGCGGATGATATTGTTATACTTGCTGAAAATGAAGAAGACCTTATGACTGTACTAGACATATTAAACACTTGGTGTACATACAATCAAATGAGTATCAGTCAAGAGAAGTCTAAGGTAGCAACAGATCCCAGGACTGAATCTCTCTTCATGTGTGGGCACGTGGAACTATGTGACTCGTATCATCACCTGGGACTACTACCAACGGAACACTGGAACAACCATATCATGGCCAAGACCGCAGTAAAATCGGACGTTGTTGTTGTTATAGTAGCTAACTGTTTAATTGAATTTAAGGTGCAAATATACATAAATATTAAATATAATATTTCTTTGAATGACACGTAGTATACAATTAACTGATGTCAATACACAAAGATAAGCAACATATACAGTCCCAGCTATGCTTTCCATTAACGTAAACAGGGCAGTTTCTGCACCAGCCCTTCTCCTAAATCCAAATTGAAAGGGGTGGGAGGAGCCTATAGATTTTATTGTCCACCCTTTAATTCTATTCAACAGGAGTCTTTCGAAAAGTTTACTTAATGCAGGAATGAGGGTAATACCTCTGTTGTTAGAGGGGTCGTCTTTACATTTACCATGACCTTTATGGATAGGTAAACTCTTTCCAACATTAAACTTTTTTGGTACTTACTCATGAGAAACAATTTCATTATAGAATGTAACAAGGTTTTGAATAATGGATCTACCAGAGTATTTGATATGTCAATTAACTCTGTCATCGGAACCAGGCGACTTTCCGCTTTTTAGACGTTTTATAGTCGTCAATAACTCATTAGATGTGAAAGAACATAACAGCTTGGAACTAACGTCACTGTCCCCTTGGTCATTACACGAATCATTTTCAATCTGTTCCATGTGACTATAAACATAATCAGTAAAATCTGAGTTACAATTTATATCATAATTTGGCATTGACGAATCCTTGAAATATTGGGAAAACAGATTACAAATTCCTTCCTGTGTATTACAGGACTCATTACAAGCAAGCGTCTGGGTTTGTTTCTTCTTTCTTTTTTATCTCTTGGTTACTCTAAAGTCCTCTGCTGCTTCATATATTTCCTGAAACCTTTCGTCTTTCAACTTTTGTCTGGAATGACGATGCTGCTTCCTAAAGATATGTTTTGCTCTTTCCTACTCAGTGTTATTTTCATCCTCTTTATCATGGGATATACCATAATAGAACCATTCATTGCGGCGTTGTCGCATTATTAAAAATTATCTTTTTTCAAGTATGGTTTTAAATGAGACTGTAATTAGTAAGTGTACTTAGTTTAGCTGCAGCATGTATCGATTGTAGGATATAGCCGTGATAAATTTCAATGTAATCACGAGGAGGTGCATACCGAGTCTCGTCAAACAGAGGACATTAAAAATAATTTTCAGTTTCATAGAGGAATAACATGAAGTCTACGTCATTAGCTTTACGCCAGTTAAGATGTTCGACGACATAGTGGCGTGGCTGGGAATCAGTACTCAACATAGGAATTTTGGACAATGGTCAGATACTGAGTAGAGAACTCCAGTATCTATAATGTAAAACCAACAACGTTACTAACATGCTGGAGATGATTGAACACGTAATCTATCATACTTCTTATAGTTTTACATTTGCTTGTAAACATGTACTTTTACGAATAGTATGGCTATACCACCTGCCCCTCTTTGAGATGAGTGGTTACGCTGACATTTTACATAGACGTTAAAGTCATAATCCAAGTCATGGAGTAATGATTCACGTGTGTCGTCTAGCCAGTGTTCGGTAATAACCATAATGCCATCAACTTAAACCAACCATCGGTTACATTTACTTGCGTTGTCAGTCCAGATTTGCAGAGGTCATTATGCGATGATGTCGTATTGGCCACAGGAGATACACACATGAATAGTTATTGAAAAGTGAGGATCCTCCATTTTGTATCCCTTGTAATGGGAGAATCATCGTCAACATTTTGCCATCACAAGGGATAACTATTTCAAATCATCATCAATCAGGGATCGTTTTAATAATTTAGTTCTCATTTAATCATTGTCATTTTAAAGGCAATTGAAGAGACATCATCCGTCGTTAACATTGCGAAAAAATGTGGCATTTCGATACTAATAACTATTCCTGTACCACCTTTTTTCCTTCAATCATCACATACGTTTTCAGTTTCGGTCTCAAGCTATTCCCATGACGGGTGCAAGTGTGACAGCTGAACTATTTGGAGAGACATTTTGAACTTGTGAAATTTTCAGTCAATATACATATTGCTTGATTATTGACATTGACTGTAACATATATACCAGCTCACACTGTGATTCCTACTCCCCCAGTCAGAATGCCAGCTCACACTATAATGATTCCTCCCATACTGGATATATCAGACCACATTAAGATGCTACCCTCCAACTGGATATACCAACCAAAACAACGATGCTTCCACACGATTGATTGTGAAGTTTGTGTAACATATTAAGCCCTAAAATCGGGGTACAGCTGCCCAGGCTCCACACATCACTATAAGGAGTTGCGTCCCTTAGTTCTGTCAAGATCCTGTGATGTGTTTGGAGTCATCGCCTGCCACTGCAAGGATCAGCATTCGTTGTTCATGAAGGGTTCAGATTCTATGGGTTGGTGCTATGGTATCGTTTAAACATGCATCAACCATGCCATCGAGCCTGACCTCCCGATCCCGTTAGTCGCCTCTTACGACAAGCATGGGTTGCCGAAGACCTGAGCGGGTTTAGAGAATAGGTGTAAACCACACTGGAGAGATGATTATATAATGAAATAATGTCTGACCATAAGAAGGATTGTGACAGGAGAATTATGTATAAGAACACTTTTATTATACGTTTAAGGGTTACATCTTTCGGTGAATGTATATTTTTATGAATCCATGTAAGTGTATTTGTTACAGACAGATTGAGAAACCAGTCATTTCGTGAAATGCATGACAAGTTCCGTCAGTTCATGAACTATTTGAAAGGGACAATCGTTTTATGAAATAAATAAACATTCTAGCCATTTCATGAAATGGCTAAAATGAAAGGCAAACAGTTCATAAAACTGTTATCTTGAACCATTATGTGAAAAAGTATTAAGATCAGTTAGTTTCACAAAATTCAGGATATGATGATCAGCGAGGTATCAAATAGTTATTTGATATATGAGTTCAAACTACGGTGACAGCGACTGTTGCGTTTCCGTTTTGCTTTGTGACAGGTGTATCTGTTTGTCCGACACTTCTTGGTTCCACTGCAGCCACGTTTGATAAAGCCATATCCACCACAAATGGATAAATGTGTCGGTGCTTATTTAAGTAAGTCACGGACGTCCTTGTCGTTCAAGGACAAATGCCAAAATGATTTCCTGATTAGCTGCCATTCAGGATACACACGATATGCACGAGGGGAAGTAGAAATGACAGAACCCCAAAAGAAAATGTTAAAACATCATTTATTACAAAGAGAAAAGATATTTACATAAATATCTACTAACTACTCCTACTAATACTACTTTACTCCACCAGTAAACTGTAACACTGTCCCGCAACCACGGCTTCCACTACAACACAACTAAACTAATGTCTGCTACTATTAATACTAATACCACTACTACCTGTCTAGACATACAAATATTGGTACAACAGCCATCGTTGTGCTATAAGACAGCAAATCAAATACAATTACATATACACACAATGCAATCTTGAAGGTTCAGGTATAAAACATATCACATCTTATTTCACATCACAATCATATAGTGATAACAGACATGTGTAAGGGCATTGTCCAACAACAAAATATAGTTCCGGTCTACCACGACACACTATGAATGTTAAAGAGAACAACAGATAGTTACAATGGGAATGTTGAATTGACCTCAGTCAGTGTGTTGTCATTGGTCATATCGAAGTATATGTAGATACAGCACAAGTGAACACTGCATTCACTCACTACACTCTGGACCTGTGACTTGGTTGATGCATGTGTGTGGGGCGGTTTCACACATGGCATGGGAAAAGATTTGATTATTGTCAATGGACATTTCCCTGGCCAACGATGTTGTTCCATAAGCTGGAATTATCTGCAAAAAGTCTGAACTGCAAGATGACAATACCAGGTTATATCGTACCCAGGTCGTCACCGATTATCTCCGACGAGGAGGCAGACGGACATAGGACTGGCCCGATAAGTCCCTTTATATATCTCGCCCATATTTGGATGCAATCGTTCGGTCATGGCGTTTATCTGCGTTGTCCAAGAGCATCTAAGGGGAACAACGCACGAGACACTTCCTTAAAAAAATAACGTTGCCCAATTTATGATGCGAGCGTATGTTCGAATGTGCAGAAATGACATCATGATAGAACGATGCAAGATATTTTTTTCTTTGACAGGAAATCAGACACACACAAACTAGTACTATGTCACAATTTGTTCTTCCGTGTCAGACATAACTGCTACCCTGTGTTGCAACCATGTGGTCAAACACTGTATCATCATGGTCATTTCTGTCGTCGATGTTCACCACATTCAATGCTTGGACATGCTTCACCATGTCTGCATCTCCTCCAAGAGAGGCCACATGAAGAATGTTGTTTCTGTTATCATCAACTAATAATACATCAGCTCCTTCTCTCACAAGTAAGTCAAACATTTGTCTGTGTCCCTTCTCTGCTGCCACCATCAGGGGTGTCCTCCCGTACTTCCCCCTACTGTTGATGTCTGCAACCTGCTGTGAGAGGACATACTTCACCATGTCCACATGTCCTCCAAGACAGGCCACATGAAGGATGTTGTCTCCGTGATTATCCACTAATGATACATCAGCTCCTTCTCCCACAAGTAAGTCAAACACTTGTCTGTGTCCCGCCCATGCTGTCTTCATCAGGGGTGTCCGCCCGTACTGCCCCCTACTGTTGATGTCTGCAACCTTCTGTGAGAGGACATACATCACTATGTCCACATGTCCTCCAAGACAGGCCACAAACAGGATGTTGTTTCCTTTATCATCCACTAATGATACATCAGCTCCTTGTGTCACAAGTAAGTCAAACACTTGTCTGTGTCCTATCACTGCTGCCACCATCAGGGGTGTCCTCCCGTACTTCCCCCTACTGTTGATGTCTGCAACCTGCTGTGAGAGGACATACTTCACCACGTCCACATGTCCTCCAAGACAGGCCACATGAAGGATGTTGTTTCCGTCATTATCCACTAATGATACATCAGCTCCTTGTGTCACAAGTAAGTCAAACACTTGGCTGTGTCCCTTCTCTGCTGCCACCATCACGGGTGTCCTCCCGTACTTCCCCCTACTGTTGATGTCTGCAACCTTCTGTGAGAGGACATACTTCACTATGTCCACATGTCCTCCAAGACAGGCCACAAACAGGATGTTGTTTCCTTTATCATCCACTAATGATACATCAGCTCCTTGTGTCACAAGTAAGTCAAACACTTGTCCGTGTCCTGCGCCGACTGCCACCATCAAGGGTGTCCTCCCGTACTGCCCCCTACTGTTGATGTCTGCAACCTTCTGTGAGAGGACATACTTCACCACGTCCACGTGTCCTCCAAGACAGGCCACATGAAGGATGTTGTTTCCGTCATCATCCATTGCTGATACATCAGCTCCTTGTGTCACAAGTAAGTCAAACACTTGGCTGTGTCCCTTCTCTGCTGCCACCATCACGGGTGTCCTCCCGTACTTCCCCCTACTGTTGATGTCTGCAACCTTCTGTGAGAGGACATACTTCACTATGTCCACATGTCCTCCAAGACAGGCCACAAACAGGATGTTGTTTCCTTTATCATCCACTAATGATACATCAGCTCCTTGTGTCACAAGTAAGTCAAACACTTGGCTGTGTCCCTTCTCTGCTGCCACCATCACGGGTGTCCTCCCGTACTTCCCCCTACTGTTGATGTCTGCAACCTTCTGTGAGAGGACATACTTCACTATGTCCACATGTCCTCCAAGACAGGCCACATGAAGGATGTTGTTTCTGTCATCATCCACTACTGATACATCAGCTCCTTGTGTCACAAGTAAGTCAAAGACTTGTCTGTGTCCCATCTCTGCTGCATTCATCACGGGTGTCCTCCCGTACTTCCCCATGCTGTTGATGTCTGCAACCTTTCGTGAGAGGAAATACCTCACTATGTCCACATGTCCTCCAAGAGAAGCCACATGAAGGATGTTGTTTCTGTCATCATCCACTACTGATACATCAGCTCCTTGTGTCACAAGTAAGTTAAACACTTGTCTGTGTCCCTTCTCTGCTGCCACCATCACGGGTGTCCTCCCGTACTTCCCCATACTGTTGATGTCTGCAACCTTTTGTGAGAGGAAATACCTCACTATGTCCACATGTCCTCCAAGAGAAGCCACATGAAGGATGTTGTTTCTGTCAGCATCCACTAATGATACATCAGCTCCTTCTCCCACAAGTAAGTCAAACACTTGCCTGTGTCCCATCTCTGCTGCTATCATCACGGGTGTTCTCCCGTACTTCAATCTACTGTCAACGTCTACCAGACACTTAGATAAGATGCGTCTAAGCAAGTCCATGTCCCCCTTCTTGCAGGCAAGATAGAGGTCAGTATCAGCATGTTGTTGGTTCTGTGTCACTAAAAAAAAAGGATTAATTTATCACAACAGGGAATAACATCAAAGCTAGATACGAATAATCCATTTACTAACTATACGTTATTACCCAACCATATACACTAAGTGGACGACGTCAATTGTATTGTAATAAACTGCGGTAAAATGTAATAACACTGTGGTAAAATGTAATACTGCGGTAAATTGTAATAAAAACTGCGGCAAATTGTAATAACTTACACTGCGACAAATTGTAATAACCACTGCGGTAAATTGTAATAACCACTGCGACAAATTGTAATAATCCCTGCGGTAAATTGTAATACACACTGCGGTAAATTGTTATAACTTCACTGCGGTAAATTGTAATAAAAACTGTGGCAAATTGCAATAACCCCTGCGGTAAATTGTAATAAAAGATTATTCATTCGTAAACATACAAAGAAACCTGCATGAAATTTAAAATGTGAGACTAAGCTGTTTGAAAAATCAAAATCCGGACTTTGAAACGACTGAATGATCAATACTAATCTACATAAAATTCTTGATATTTGTATTTACTCAGAACGGAATTCGATTTCCAGTGTTTGTACGACCTTAACAAGATCAATTCCAACCTCCAGCATGTTCAAGGAATTCAAAAAAGCGATTTTGCTTTAATTTCTGTCATTCCTATTGAAAGACAGGTGCGGTTAATTGTAATGACACATCTTAATCATTCTAAATTTAAAACTAAATTCGATATACAGCGTTTGTTCGACCTTAACAATATCAATTCCAACCTCAAGCATGTTTAACGAAATAAAAAAAGCCATTTTTCTTTTATTTCCATCATTTCTATTGAAAGACAGGTGCGGCAAATTGTAACAGACTGCGGGAAATTGTAATGACACATCTTAATCCTTCTGATTTCAAACTGATTTCGATTTCCAGTGCTTGTTTGACCTTAACATGATCAATTCCAACCTCCAGCATGTTTAAGGAAATCCAAAAAAGTGATTTTGTTTCAATTTCTGTCATTCCTGTTGAGAGGCTGGTGGGGCAACTTGTAAATAAAAATGTACTGAAAATTCCATGTCTGTTGTTTTATATCATTTGTATTATTCAATGTGGGGGAAAGCCCATTTGTTGAAACGCCAGTATGGTGAACTGTCCGAGTGGGGAAATGTCCTCCACTCGTGATCAACATATCATAATTAAGCAAAGATATATATTTACTGGAAGAGAAATTTATTTTCTATCCATACCGGTCCTTTACGACAGAGATCGTCATAGGTAATGTCTAAAAAACCTCTCAAATCTTGAACCTAACATTGCCCACTTAAAGCATTCGTAATGACATTTGTGAAAACAGAAGTAATAATATATACACACTTTAGCAATACACATTCAAGAGGGATGCAGTTATTATATGTTTGATAACCTGAGCGTTTAGTGATACCACATATAACTATGTATGTTGAATTCGTAGCCTGTATCACATAGTATTACATGTACAACAGAGAGACAGTGTTATTTTGTTCCATGACAACTCTTCTTAGTTTTGCAGACTTATATACATTGCAAGATTCTTTAAAATATCTTCATGTTTACTGGACATTTATTTATTGAAGGACTGACACAGAAGTTTTCTGGTATGAAGTGTGAACGATTTAAAAGCGCTTGTTAAACTTCCGTGTGAATCTCCTCGCAAGCTTGGAGGTTCACACAGTTTAACCAGGGCTTTTAAATCGTTCACACTTCAATGAACCCATCCAAACTGACGTTCAATTCTCAAATAAATAAAGGCATTCGCTTGAAGTAAATGGGTAAATTAATTTCTCTACTCTGACACAACAGCGTTGTATATATGTTTTTGTTTTTCTACCCGTATAGAGATAACTAATCAAAGATTTTCAATCATGGCAGGTATGCAGACAGTTGATGTTGATGTTGATCACAAATGAGGGAGCCCCAGGTTCACTTTCAACATCGCCTCTACAGCCAGAACATAATTGTGTTGATCTAAAAAGTGGCAATATTGACACATGCTTTAATCACATATTGAGTAAATAAACTCATTGTTTTGGTATAAATTTTGAAGTTTGCACGATATTAATTTATAAAAAGATGATATATGAAATCAACATTTAATGTCATGAACAAATACATCTAACTAGTTCTAATTAGTTGAATTACTCAGAGTTAATCTAAAGAATTAGGTGCAATGTGGTTATTTAAAATGTGCTAATATAGATCTTGGTAACATACTCAATACTGTTTTATATAATTAAATAATTAAACGTGTGTTTAATGCAAAATGAACTTTGAACTAATAACATCCAAAATGAGAAGTAGGATCAACAAGTCTTATATTCTCATAACGTATCTGACAGATGGGGTATGATCGGGATGAATCTGTATTACCACTTGGGTAACCAGCACTGGATACAATGGTAGTGATCCAGGTTCAATCATTCGGGGTAAAAATATGCCGCCGTTTTCATTGTTCGTTAATGATGTCTTGTCTCATATAGACGTTCTTTATTGTAAAGGTGAAACGGTTAAAACAGTTTGAGGTTGCATACAAATTCTATCTTTAACATACTCTGATGGCACTTTTACTGTCGGATACGCTTAAAGATCTGGGCCTAGATTTTAGAAACGATCTTAGCCCTAAGATTATTGTAAAGTTATCGTAAGGAAATCGTAGGCTATCGTAGCCTATTTTCGAAACTATCGTAGCCCTAAGATATCTTAAGTTCGTCGTAAATCTAAGATATAGAGGTTATCACGCGAGTGTGTTTGGGGATGGTAAATATCCTGCATTAGGAATAAACATTGTATTTAGCGAGCCTTGGCGAGCTAAATACATAGTGTTTATTCCTAATACAGGATATTTACCATCCCCAAACACACACGCGTGATAACCTCTTTATCATATAATGTCATTCTTTAATTCTGTGCTTCAAAATCGCTTTCCCTCTCTCACATACATAACCGAAACATTGCGAGTTTTTCTGGAATGCGAGCATTAATATTTATTACGTCACAGGGTAAGTGATGTGTCAGTCGGACAGTGACAGTACCCAATATAGTTCCAACTGAAATCTGTTTCTTATACAGTGGCGAAGCAACATATACGCAAAACAACAATTGTTTTTAATTGCCTTTCGCGGCAATCCATCTGTCTGTCCGCTAGAGTAACTGCCCTTTGTCAAAGGGAAGCTACTCTAACCCTAGTCTATGAGACGTCACGGCAACGGTCAGTCGTTGTTCACAGTCGGTCTGTCCTCTCATTACGTTAAGAAGTGTAGTCAGATGTACACACAGCGACAAAACGAAACAAGGTAACAATTCAAACATATTTCGGACAAATCCAACTATTTTAATTTGTGGAGAAGGTTTCAAGCCACAGAGGTCTACAAGCACAGATATGGCTACTGATCCCGCTTGGCTAGGCCTCGTGCCCTCGAAAAATTGTTTCGAAATTTATATCTCTAAAGTTGCCCAAACTTATAAAATGCCTTAGCTACGTCACAGTTAGAGACTGAATTTCAGTATATTAGACTGTTCTTTTGATAATGATAGCAATTATCCCTGTAGTTTATCCAGATTCCCGATGGTTAATTCTGACTCGATCCCTGAATGATGAGGGCGACGCCATGCTTGTTTATAAACAGTGAAAGTAGTCCCTACTTGACCTTTGATATTTGCATCTCTATCCGCATATGACCCCAACGGATATCGTTTTTATCCGTTGGCTTTATCCTGCCGAGAAACCTACCCATTATATGATAAAGCCCTATACCTGTCGTAAGTTTATTTTATCTTCATCCAAGATGGCGACATACTTTTCCATAGATATTTTGCCAAACAATTAGTCCGCTTTACGTTCAAACATTGACATTTCATTTTGTAAAAACTGTATGATTCAAACTGACACTTCGAAAACACGAAGAACGCATCAAGGATTTCACGTCAAAAATGTTCTTAATCGCGACAGCGATACACATAACTGTGGAGTCGATAGCTTACATTATTTTTCTATCCGAGTCCATGCTGAAGAAGTGTGAAACAACATACCTTTTTGATAATTTGGGAAGGATAAAAACGGAAGGTGTCGACAGGCTACTGTAATGACCGTGACCTTATTGATAGTTTAGGGCGAGCTAATCTTAGTTCAAACTCTAGTTGAGAGTGGTTTCTCTTTGTATTCGCCCGGGACACCTTGCTCAATGGTACAGTTTTCATAAAGCGCAGAGTTCCGCTGTTATATTTTCTGAGTCGCATTTGTGTCAATGCTTTAGTCTTTATTTTCGCATTTTATAAAATTATATCAATCTATATGTGTAAAAACAACCATAAAGGTTTCGCATAAGTTTTTACATCTAAAATCGTGTGGGACGGGTTGTTTTAATAATTGAATTTTAACTATACAGTGTAGTATTTATTGACTAAACAAGGAAATGCATGTGATCAAATATTTGTATACAATATCTAATATTTTTCTTGCAAAAGAAATTGTAATTTGTTTCGTTTTAAATTCAATATCTACGTTATCTATATCCTCTTGAAAGACAAATATTTGATAAAAAGTGATTAAAAACTGTCTGTTGAACAATTGCATTCTTTAAAAACAGGTGATTAACGGCATATAGATGTATTCCCTTATAAATATAACAATTTACTGAAATTTTGACAGCAAAAGTTAAGCGCAAATTTTTGTATCGACAAATCAAATAAAAAATGAGTTCCCATGCTCGTTCTGGTTCTCGTCAAAATGTAGCATAGTTTGCACATTGTCCAAAATTCACTTTCAAATATATGTTCGCAGAAAAAAAGTTTATTGAATGAAATTTACTGATCAACATAAAATACACATTTTCAACACAATAATCTTTGCATTCAATAAAGCGGTTTTAAAATATTTTGGTCTTTTTAATATTTAAGTCTACATCTTCCCGTTTTATGTATTAAGACCATTCAGACAATAAAATCGTTGTAACGTATAGGGTCAACGGACAAATACTAGTAAATGATCCTCAGCAATTCTGTCAGACAAGCCAAACATCATTGAACTACGTTCTGGAATAGATTTGACACATTACAAAGTATTTCGCTCCTCAGCCAGATTTAAATGAAATCAGACAAATCAGTTTATTAGCTCTACTTAATTTAAAAGGATAGAAAATGACTACATTATATGTATGTTCACGTTAACTTGTGGCGTGTTCCATGAGACAACATTACAATTCCTAAATTATCTCTCTTAGCGAACGAAAATTAGTGTCACTTTTAAATTTTGAAAATAATTATGGATCTAGATAGATTAAAAAAAATAATTCATCATCTAAATACCAATAGCTTGATATTGTATTTAAGTCCTTGGTTTATTCGTGAAATATATTGGATACATAAGTAAAAAAACAAACTTAACAAGCTTAGATTGTCATATAAACTTGCTTGTGGGTGCGCTGCTTCCTGAACAATTTTTGTTTTGAGTGTTTCCACGTATAATGTTGGTGTTTACACTAATATAAACTTGACTTTTGACATAAACATAAAAATAAAAAGTATACATCACATAACATCAGACTTGAACACGCATGTTAAATGCTGAACGCATATGCAGCTGGGAAATCTCCGTGACGTCACTGGGAAACACCCCGCTTTTTCAATCTCTAACACAAATGAGTTCTCTGTCAGAGTTACGACAGGTATCGTAACTCTGAACGATCTGCGACAGGTTTACGATAGTTTCGAAAATCTATCTTATCTTAACCTTAAGATATCTTATCTTTGAACGTAAGTTGTTAAGATGTATCTTAGCTAAGATCGTTTCGAAAATCTAGGCCCTGCAGTTCAGAATCGAGGAAGTCACGAATATTGTAATTACTAAATGTTAACGCCAGAGAATAATCAGGATTATCTAGCGATCAAATGGGCGTTAAAGGCAATTGTGGTGACCATCACTGTGACCATATTCTGCTCTAACGGATGGAAGTGTTAATGTCGCTAATCTATTGACATATTTAGATCAGGTGCGTATATAAATATTTCTTGAAATAGCATATGCACATATTTGTACGTTTCATGGAAAAAATCTAAAATACACACTTACTCTTTGCATTTATATCAGCTTTGATCATGATCAGATGTCTTTGTCTCTCGCTACGTTGTATGGTAGTGGTACATTTTCTGATTTTGAAAAGTGCTCTTAATGTTAATCCTTAATCTAATACTCCGGTCTTGTATGGTGATGCAGGACACATACCATTGCCCATATGCATGAACAAACGTATTATTGCATAATGGTCACTAATGAACACACTAATGATTATGCATTAACGTTTATAAAATTCAATATTTCAGTACACGTTTGTAGCAATCATATACAAACGATGCAAATGTGAATGTAATATGACAAAAGAAATTTCTAAGTTTAAAATATTAATGCATCACTAAAAGAAAAATGCATTTTATGTATATGGGTCATCTAATGCAGTGTATCACTATTTTTCTTGATGCGGGTTCTTCATACGGTTTTACAAGGATGAGGAACAGTGCAATACATGCGTCTGTTGACCCTGTTTTGGGATTAGCCACATTAGTTTCTTGATGATGTTATGTATTCCATTACATAGGTAAACCAGCGGCAGTGTTGCATCAGTTACTTCTGTTTTCAGTAACATATAGTTCCATAAGATAATATCAGAAGACCTATGGATATGATGTACGGTTAAGTGGAATGATTGCAGCGTTCAGTTTAATTAAAACATCAATATGAAAAACCTCACATCATTCATATAGCACTGTGCTAGTGCTAGACGTTAGAAACTAGCAGTATCATTTAACATGGATATTAGAAAAGCACTATTTCTACAGCGGAAGGCTTCATTTGTGATCGGTACCTCAAGGAATATCCATTACCTATTCGTTTGCGACTTTCGCCGCAGGGAATGTAAAGTAGCGGTTTATTTTGCGCCAACACAATATGGACTCATTTCTTCATAATTTAAAGCAAATTATATACATCAATATTAAATAAGCAATTGACATTTTGGTCGGAGGCATATGATAGAATATATGAACCGCAAGGAACATTCCAAAAGGGTTACAGCACCACAGATAAATTTCTTATTTTGCACTCTATAATAAAGAGGCACATGTAAAAGAATGCGGCAAGCTATACGTGGCCTTTGTGTTTTTTACAAAAGCGTTCGATTTAGTAAGCAGAAATAAACTATGGTATGTTTATAAAATGTAGAGGAGGGTGCGTTCTTATCCCACTATTGTTCTCAACGTTTATTAATGAACTTAATCATAACCCACAAATAGAATGTGTTACATTATATTCGTACCTTGGAAAAATATTTTCTAAATCTTTGTCATGGAATAAGAATGTTGCAAATGCCACGTTGCAAACAAAAAAGGTTATATGTGGTTTATTCAAGATATTGTCAGCAATTCAACCCCTGCCATATGAGAAATATTTAAATTCAAGAAATTGAGGTGATTCATTTATCGGCATGCAAGCGTTTCTTACGCGTAAAATTATCAACTCCCAGTCCTGTGGTAAGGAGAGAATTTGTCAGATATCCCATATATATAATGTGCCTACAAACGTGCTGTAAAACACTGGTGACGAATTGTAAATTTTGTAAGAAATGTTAGAAAATGTTGTTGTTTTGGCTATTTTTGGGAACATCAATCTGTCGGTATTTCTTTCAGAATTTACAAGTCTTCCTACGAACAAAACTGGCTTGACGCCCTCCAAAACGGTTGAAACGTATAGTCATTCTTTGTATAAAACGTCATTTGGTTTTGAAATGTATCTAAATGTGATCAGTATCTCTAAATTTAGAAACTGTCTTGCAAAACTAAGATGTTGATAACATCAGTTAAGAATTGAAACCAGACAACAATGCAAACAACCAAGATGTGAGCGAGGACTATATACTGTGTAACAAAGTGTATACAGGCGATAACCATTTTGACCTTGTTTGTGAACTATTACATTCCAGCAAACGTCTGTGTCAGTCCTTCAACAAATCAATGTTATACACTCATGTCCAGTAAACATGAAGTTATTTTAAAGAATCTTGCAATGTATATAAGTCTGCAAAACTAAGAAGAGCTTCATGGAACAAAATACCACTGTCTCTCTGTTGTAACACTATGTGATATAGGCCACTAATTCAACATACATAATTATATATGGTATCACTAAAAGCACAGGTTACAAACATATAATAACTGCATCGTTCTTGAATGTGTATTGCAAAAGCGTGTTTATATTATTACTTCTGTTTTCACAAATGTAATTACGAATGGTAAGAGTGGGCAATGTTAAGTAGATTTGAGAGTATATATTAGACATTACCTATGACGTTGTCGTTAATGACCGGTATGGATAGAAAATGAATTTCTCCCCTCGTAAATATATATCTTTGCTTTATTATGATGTGTTGATCACGAGTGTAGGACATTCCCCCACTCGGACAATTCACCATACTGGCGTTTCAACAAATGGGTTTTTCCCCTAACAGAATAAAAAAAATGATATAAAACAACAGACATTAAAAATTTTCAATACATTTTTTTTACAATTTGCTGCACCTGTATCTTAATAGGAATAACTCTGGGGACTGAAACAAAATCTCTTTTTGGATTTCCTTAAACATGCTGGAGGTTGGAATTGATCTTGTTCAGGTCGAACAAACACTGGAACTTCAATTCAGTTTGAAATCGGAAGGATTAAGAAATGTTATTACAATTTACCGCACCTGGTATTACAATTTGCCGCAGTTTGTTACAATTTGCCGCACCAGCCTCTCAATATCATCGATGACAGAAATTGAAGTAAATTCGCTTGTCTTGATTTCCTTAAACATGCTGGATGTTTGAATTGATCTTGTTAGGGTCGAACACACACTGGAACTTCAATTCAGTTTGAAATCGGAAGGATTAAGAAATGTTATTACAATTTACCGCACCTGGTATTACAATTTGCCGCAGTTTGTTACAATTTGCCGAACCTGTCTTCCAATAGAAATTATAGAAATTGAAGCAATTTCGATTTTTTTTATTTCCTTAAACATGCTGGAGGTTGGAATTGATCTTGTTGAGGTCGAACAAACACCTGAACTCGAATTGTTCTGAGTAAATACAAATATCAAGAATTTAATGTACAACAGTCGTTTCAAAGTCCGGATTTTGATTTCCAAACAGCTTAGTCACACATTTTAAACTTCATGCAGGTTTCTTTGTATGTTTGCAAATGAATAATCTTTCATTACAATTTTCCGCAGTGAAGTTATTACAATTTACCGCAGTATCTATTACAATTAACCGCAGTATTACATTTTACCGCAGTGTTATTAAATTTTACCGCAGTTTGTTACAGTTGACCACGTTATTACAATCTCACCACCATCCTAGAGATCTAGTATTCCAAAGGCACACTCTGGTGCGGTACGCACAGGAAGCCTCGCCATTCAACATGTGTAGTAGTTTGGGGTTCTTCTGTTGTTATATTGCTTGAATGGGGATACAAGCGGTGGCATATTAACCTCACACATTCACTAACCTTTCTGGTTTGGCAGTCTAGGATTGAACAACCTCTTTAGATTGTCTTCTATCTTGCCAACATGGCCTACTTTATCCTGTTGACGTCTGTGAGTTGTTGGACCCCTGCCCCAGGATGCCAGACTGCTTGTTTCACTATGGAAGCCGCTGTCCCCAGAAGCAAGAGACAGTCGGTCGAAGTGCTCCAGCTCCTCTATTCTCTACGGATGCAAAAAGTGCAAAATCAGGAGTAAATATCAATGTAAGAAATGTAGAAAAGGGGGTAACATCCCTGTTGGAAAGAAGTCAAACAATTATTTTTACAAAGAACACATTTTATGCAGAAGATCAAGCATATCCAGTAAAATATGTTTTTTTGTAAAACCCTAGAACTCTTTTTTCGAGTGCTTTCGAAAAGAGATTACTTTTTAAAACCAAATCCTCAGGTCATACGAAAATTTCCAAAGGTCGGCCCTACATATTGTTGGAAGAATCAGCCCATCTCTATTTGATAATGAAAATAAATAATTTACCAAGAAGGGCTATTACTCTGTAATCAGCCATCAGGAAAATATGATCTTAAGAATATGGTATATTGATTGAGAAGAAATATGGAAATACGTTCACAAAATGGCACACTTGCATATTTTATTGTCTTATCACTCTGCTATGAACGAGGTGCCTGTTATTTGGTTTTACTTTCAGATGTGTGGATTTTTACCATCATCTTGGTTCACAGGAACTGAAACATTTTGAAGTTTACCTTTTTTGTTCAAAATATTTTCTTTATTTTCATTTGAAGATTGTTATACTGATTACTATCTCGATCGTTTTTTTCAAAAGATGCATTACCTTTAGACTGCATTTTTTATATTTTTTCAGTATTTATTGAAAACTGATTGATCAATTTGTTGCTGGGGTAGTGGATACAGAATCTGACTGGAGAGCGGAAGGTTGATGGTTCGAAACCCTGCCAGCGTGCTACCAAATCACATGGAAAGATGACAATTGTTACCCTGCCTGGCGATTGTTGTTGTCTCGACACACTAAAACCGGACACAAGCCTAGTATGAGTATCCACACACACATTCATTCACGTCGCTGTATGACTGAAATAATCTTGAACGCAGCGTTTAACCCTATTTCACCACACATCACCTTTACATTGTATATCTGATCAACAGTTACCTTTTTCAGTTGAATATTTTCTTCCTCAAGTCTGACGAGGCTAGCTGATAAAAAATAGTAATTCCGTGAAACAAAACTGTAATATTCTAACATGACAAAAAGAGATTCCTGCATTTTGATTGGTCGTCCAGGAGTATATAATATATGTTAGACCATGATCGTTCCAATTATCGCTTTACCACAACAGTGAATATGCATTCAGATTTCGGACTTCTTTTGCAAACTTACCCTTATGCCAATTTCAAATACTGATCATATATGTTTAACGTTGCTAAATAACGCGTTGCAGATACTTCATTCTACAAGCCTGAAACAGGCTCCACTAAATCTCTAAATGTTCCTGAATTTGTACTTTGCAAACATGGGAATAGATGCTTTGAACATAAGTATCATTCTCAGAAAGAAATCAGTTTCTCTAAATGTTCCACAATATTTCAAATTTCAGAAACCATCAAACCTTTCCCTTTACTAACACCAACAAATTCAGGAACATGTTGCAGGACGTGGACTTCTAAAGTACACACCACTATTATGATGTCATATAGTTCTGCAGATTGGAAGGCAAAACAGTGTGACGCATTAGGCTTGACCTCACAGTACTTGATAGGGTAGCGGCAAAAGTCAAGTCATGTTGATAAGGAAGGGAATTTATGGATGTCAACTTATGAGGAGTATATGCTCACTTTTTCATCTATAAAATCTCCTTTCACCTGCTGACTTCCATAAATTCTCACTTCTCAATACCTTTCAAATATCCAAGTCATGTTGATGTTATTAAATTTTACAATACACTCTCAACAAGTCAAAGTGCGATACCGACAATATCATGAGCATATGTCCCTGAATCCCTATCAAATAGTGATGATAGAAAGTGTTCACGAAAAGACTAACGTATCCTGCGTTACCGCTGGCCCCGCGAAATCGCTCAGGGGTAATTTCGGTACACATTAAGGTACCAAACTACATTTCTGTGGTCGACGACATCTTCAGTGCCACTTGGCAACAGATACAGCAGTTTCAGTTTGTCTGTGGATATTGGATTATTTGACGGAATACAACTCTAGCCATTACTTGGGATGTAGAAGGAAGGTTACATCTGGCCTTTGCTGCTTCAGATATCTGAGTCTGACGTAATTTTTTTCAGCTGCCAAGATTGGCTTTTCCAGTCGTAAATACTGAATCCTAATTATGAGTGGCATGAGGTGTTTCTACAGTGACAAGTAACCTCGTAACTTATTAAGATGATTTATTATCAAAACACTTATGATGGAAACGTTCGCACCTTGAAGTGTCTCTGTGGAACATCCTGCTCCGTCAAGGCTTGCATTGTTATCCTGCTCTTCAAGTCCTACCTGTGATGAAAAACATCCAAACTGTTTGCATATATTTGGTGATATGTATATAACAATTATATGGAATCAAGTTGTGCTGAAGGTCCAAAGTGCGTTTCATTAATATTATTCACATTTAAAGCTTGTTCGAGCTGCAGATCTTCATCTGTCTATTATAATTAGTATTGCCTTACCGTGTTACTGTCATTACTGTGTCTTGCACATGTGTCTCCTGCGTCATGTGGCACATCACTGATATCACTTGCCACATACAGTTGCAGCTTAACCCCCTGGTTGCCGAGTTTTTTTTCTGTTGCACAGAGATGAAAAGGTAAACGTTGTGCGAGAAGTGCGGTCGGTCGCGCGGCACTGCATCTATCTTTAACTATAAATTTAGAATATTACATTCCCTATCAGAGTATATACAATCATTGCAAATATAAGATTAATCTGAAAAACAGACTGATATTTTGTTGAGCGTGAAAACACAGCAAACTTTTGCCACTTTTAATCATACATCGATATAAGTACTGTGCTACAAAAAGTTTATTTGACAGCTTCATTTAAACTATAAACGAACAAAATACTGCCTAATATTTTTATGACATTGTGAAAATCATTATGACGTCAAAAGAAGGCAGAGAGGTACATTCAATGATTTACTATCAATATGCATTATCAACAAATGCTATCAATTCACATCATAGTGTTTTTCAATTTATTAATTTCTCACATTGATACCATAATTGTTATGCACCTGGTTTCCATGCATGTTAGTTATTACAAATGTTCATGATGACGTTGAAATGTCCTTTCACAAAGCTTTCACTGACTCCTCAAATTGTCCTACAAAAGACAGATCAACAAAAATGTTCTTCCTCTTCGATAACTATATTTAAACACACATTAATACAACATAAACATAATCTTACTTCCTACAAACTATTTTCCCATCGTCTAGACTCAATATGCAAATTAAGATTTCCACAACGGAATTTACTTTTCTTACTGACTCTGAAAAAGGCGACTATGCTTGTCGTAAGAGGCGACTAACGGGATGGTCAGACTCGCTGACTTGGTTGATGCATGTCATCGGATCCTAATTGCATGGATCGATGCTCATGATGTCAATCACTGGATTGTCTGGTCCAGATTCGATTATTTACAGACCGCCGTCAAATAACTTGAATATTGCTGAGTGCGACGTTAAACAACAAACAAACAAAACTGACTTGATATTTAGTCTCTACTGTTCTGGTTGTAACACACATTTACACAGTTCATACATTTCTTATATTTACTTTCCCATATATAATACAAACCCAATGTTAACTTGATACATCTTTCAATCGTTGAGCAAAAGAAACTAAACGTATTTCCGCCTTCCCGACACCCAGATATAACCACACGAATCCATACACATGTTCAAACTAAATATTTCTAACAAATCCGACCCTTGTTTGCCTTCCGGCAACATATTTTATCACAGTTCGGGGTACCTATGGCTTTGCATGGACAATAATTTTATCAAGTAGGATATGCAGTTTCACAACATACAGTAGAAATAATGGGTAGATCTACCTTCCTATAATTGTACAGTTTAAAAACACGTTACATGTTGATATGGTCAAATTTCTGAGGCGTAGATTTCAATAGGTGCGATCATTCTGTCAAACAAGAACATTGATATATATTGACATTGAGCATATAACGCTTAATACACCTTAATAAATGAAGAGTAACTTTCTCAGCTTTTGATAAGTGTAGACAGGTTTTTCCCCATCTTAGTGTACATGTAGCTGTGACATAGATACCAAGATTTATTACTGACATGGTGAAGGTACAGATGGTAAGATACTAAATCCGTACGTCACACGTGTGTCGTACAAGGTTGACGTCGTTTTATTCGTTTTGATTGGATAACCGTGACCTCAGTCTCACCGGAACTACTTTTTGTATTCATAAAAAGATCACGAGACGTCATTCATTTTTACAACTAGGCAGAACGGAAGTAATCTCATGAAAGCGAGAGACATTTATACACACTTTACTAAACTAAACCAGATCCTCGTCACACGCATCAAATCGCTTTGCATTCTATATTATTTAAGCACAGAGCTACTACAGACATTATATAAGCGAGCCATATCCATATGCAATGAACGACTACCAATAGATCGTGGGCTCACTATGAGCGTGACGCACCCGACTACTTTCGCAACTTTCAATTTGATTGAACTTAGACGGTAAAGCCTGGTGAAATAAAATCAGTTTAAACTACCTGGTCAGATATCTAGACTTACGTTGGATGCCCCGGTTGTGCCATCAGTGCCCCCATTCGAAGCGTATTTTATGATATGGCTTCCGAAGGTGTTCGTTCATGAATGAACATACACGACTTTACGATCACTCAAAGTGAACAGTTCCGATACAAATCATTCAAAAACTCCCTGGAAGTGTACCTGACTTCTGTTGTCTTTTCTTATTCCGATGGGGACATTGCCCTTCGTTCGAAGCTGTTACTGACATGTAAGCAGACATAAAGGTCTTTGGCGAGCACTCTGATTTCCCTCTTCCAAACTGGTAACGACAGGATATAAATTCAGCTGATAGATCAAGGAAATCGTACCATTTTGACTGCACAGCCATCAGTTGAATAAATCCTTAAATAAGATCTTGAGCGTTGATGCCATCATTTTGGCACACACAACAGCAGAAACATGTTGTTAATGCGTATGCATAGAAATATTAACAATGCCTATATATGGGCATATATCAATATTCACGAGCGACCAGAGTTGCAATAGGTTTTAGTTTGGCCTGTCAACGAAGGAAAGTTTTTGTTATGTATTTACACTTAAAAACATATTTTGACGTGGGTAATAAATAAAATACAACACTCATTCTCTATAGATACCATTTTTACGAAACTCGTGAACTTTCTATGATATCTGACCGAGCGAAAACCACTCGTTTCATATAAAAAGATATCTAACGAGAATGAGTGTAGTATTCTCTATGTATATATTCAGATAGTGTTTCTAAAATACTTCCGTCATAGTTCCATTTTTCAATTGGTTTAAGTTGCCGACCTCTTCTAGATATCATGATCTTAGTCTTTTGTCTTTTCACTTTCATGCCATGATTATTGTAAAACGTACATAAAATATCAATTTGTTGATGTAATCTACACATGCTTCCGGCAGCATTGACAATGTCATCAGCAAATAATAAGGTGGGTAAATCTTCCGGAAGATTACCAACATATATACCACTGCAGTCAGACTGTTTGACCTTTTCAATAAATATCATATCAATTTTGGACATATATTTGTTCATTACATAGTAGTTGCTTCACTTTATTTCGTCTCAGAATAAACAATGAAAGGTGCGAATAACCTCCCTTTGTGTGGAATTATCAGGATAATCGTATAAGGTTTATCAATGACGTGAACGCAAGCGTCAAAATCCACCCACCTCTATCAACGAACTTTGTGTTTCTCTTACAGATGAGTGGAACAACATGAGTGGAGTCAAGTTGACATTGGTCGACTCAACAGAAACATGCCTCGAACAATTCGTGCATGTCTGACCAACAAAAAAAGTTTTACAGTTGCCGTTGGCTGCAAAAGGGAATTTTGAATTTGAGCCCCAGCCCCTAAAGACCTACTGCTCGACCATCTCAGTAAACCAGCTGTTTGAACTCATTAGATCTGATCGCTTACTCCCCAACAGGTATGATCAGATCATTTCCCCTTGCCAATACCACATACATCAGAAGATATTTCTTGATGATAACCACTACCCCTTACTTTGTTCTCATCGTACAACAATGTTTACACATGTCATCATTTCTGGTGACCGACTTTCACTCAATTGCGTCATCACTGACATTAGTATGCAGGATTTTCAGTGGAGGAATTTCGTTTATTCAGGAATTGTAGCAACATAAATGTATCATGTAAGTAATCAGAAACAATCTGACAACCTGCGTATTGTTTTTTGCTTTTAAAGTTTTTCATTGTAACCACGAGAACTGGTCAGAAATGCAGATAACTACCATCGTCGTTGTGTGTGATTTTGTGTCAGTCATGGCGTCAAGCAGAACGGAAACTTTAACAATTTCTTTTTGAATTTATATAATCAATGTACGGTTTCTATTTGTAATTATCTAATCATTACTACGATTCCATGTCCATGCATATTCTCATAACTTTGAGCCCATGTATGCAACGATTGGACTGTAATATCTGAAATTTGCTATGTTTACATTTTAAACAAGTACAGATTTATGTAACGATTTTCTGGTTGTGCGTTTTGTACAATATAGTCACTTGTTTCACACCTTTTTAAAGATTGTAATCACGGGATATTTTAAACTGTTTATTTTGTTGTTGAAGAATTGTGAAAAGTATATAAAAATGTGTCATGTACACCGATGGTTGAACCTTATACGATTATACTGATAATTCCATATAAAAGTGTGGCCAGTTTTCGCATCTTTCATTGAATAAGTCCAAGACGTCACAGTGTGAAATAAGCACATCATGAACTAATACATATTCAATATTAAAAAATATAATTATTTGTTTGTTTTGAAATATTCTCTTGAGTATTTGATTTATGTAAAAAGTGGTGCCTGACAGATTCGTGTCTTGTCAAATATTAAAATACACGATCAACTTCTGTATTTTGGTATCTATTCAAGACATTAACATTTACATTTCATTGAACACAGTTACATCCCAGGTGGCGCTATTTTTGCTGGTTTTGTATGTGTAACATAACGATTGATCTTGTTATACCTCCAGTTGCAGTCAAACGACGCCTAAATTTTCATCGAAAGTGACAGCAACACCGACTACAATACGTACAATTAGTGGCTAATGTCGACTTCCTGTTAGTAATTTCTTATGTCGGTCAAAGTTCGCGAAAGGTCGTTCTGACGTAACCTGTAATGGGATGTCCTAAGCGGTTGCGAGAACTTTTATCCGATTTTAATGAGATTGTGGTAATCTAGGCATTTGAGTAATCCTGTTTTGTTTATGTAAAGGAGTAATTGTTTATTGTTAAGCAATTTTATCTCTGCAGCCGTTGAAATATGCAGCTACTAGCCGACTCGTCTCGCATCAAAACACGGGACTGTGTACTCTCGGGCAGATGACCACAGAGTACGCTGATCACTGTGTCGGATTAACGAGATTGATTAATGAGTGACTTCAGCAATTCGTTGCAAATTAGGCGTGTCCGAGTCGGAGTTCGAGACTGTCGGATTAACGGGTCTACATCGCACTGATTTAATCGGTTCCCATCATTAGTGTCGGATAAAGCCGATTGTCGGATTAACGAGTGTCGGATTAACGAAACTTTACTGTATACTGTTAGGATATATCAGCCGTTCCACAAGTGAAGATTACACCACCTGTATAATGAAATCTGCCGTCATATAGTTTCAGATATGTTCATATCAAAGAGTTCCAGGAACTTATTTCTCCGCGAACGAATTTTCCCGAAAGAAGATATGGGGATTTTTGTTTCGCTTCACATTGCCAAGAAATATACGCATGTCAACGCATAATGCAGAATAAGGTTTGAACAATTTTGACGTATTTGTTTCTAAATGAGGAAAAGTTCAAGGTGGAAATAACACAACTCGTGGTTATTAATAAGGAACATATGAACTTTGTAATCCCGATGATCGCAAAAGACTGGACTAAAAACCGTTGATTAAGACACGATTGATATTTCCAAAATTAGAAAAAAATACATGTTATAAATCCTCCACATATATCCAGGCAAACTCTTGGGTATTACCATGTCAGTAGGTAACACATACAAATAGGAATTGCATACTATGAACGATGTATATACGCCTGTAAAATGGATAAACTACATGCATTGTGTGATATCCTGCCAACTGTATAATTATTATATTTTGATCTAAAATCATAATATAGTGTGATTGATTGTGAATTGATTGGCTGTATATCTTTTCGGATCATACCAACTACATGTATGATGAACAGGACTAAACTTGAGCGGTGTCAAGATCATCAAACAGGATTATGAGTTTGTGTCCAAAAAAGGTGTGTCCAAAATGTTTATCAAAATAAGTTAATTTGCCTGATTAATGTTAACGCCTGCACGTTAATCAAACCGAGTTCACATGAAATTGTCATGATTTGACATCAGCTGAGAATGTCGAAGTGTGCAACATTCTTAGTCCCCGATCAGCAACTGACTACATGTACTCGATTTCAGAACATATCCACTACAGGATCGCACGACTATCTGATTCCGTTTAAAAGAACTAATTTTTAAAAACACAGCTGTTCAATATTGTGAGCAACGATCAACACCCCCACCATTTGTAGCCGCATTGGGGACATGGTTCATAGGATTGACAATTAATTCCCTACCTGTATCCCCGAGGGGCATGACTCATAGGATTGATAATTGATTTCCTACCTGTATCCCCGTGGGGCATGATTCACAGGATTGACAATTGATTCCCTCCCTGTAGCCCTAGGGGCGCATGATTCATAGGACTGACAATTAATTTCCCACCTGTATCCCTGGGGGGCATGATTCATAGGATTTACAATCAATTTCCTACCTATATTTGTGTCTTCTCCAACCATGCCGTATGGCATGACTTCCTGGTCAGACTGGTATGGGCTGGACCCGACTGAGGTGTCACTGCTGCTGTCGGACATGGTGCTGCTTGAGTACAGCTGATGGTGCTACTTGAGTACAGCTGATGTGGTACAGCTGATAGTGCTGCTTGAGTACAGATGGTTGTGCTACTTGTGTACAGCTAATGGTGCTACTTGTGTACAGCTGGTGGTGCTACTTGAGTCCAGCTGATAGTGCTACTTGAGTACAGCTGATGGTGCTACTTGTGTACAGCTGATGGTGCTACTCGAGTACAGCTGGTGGTGCTACTTGAGTCCAGCTGATCGTGCTACTTGAGTACATCTGATGGTGCTACTTGAGTACAGCTGCTGGTGCTACTTGAGTACAGCTGATCGTGCTACTTGAGTACAGCTGATGGTGCTACTTGTGTACAGCTGATGGTGCTACTCGAGTACAGCTGATGGGAAAAGTTAACTATTGGAAAGTTGATCATATAGTTTTGTAGAGGGGTTTATGTCACTCTAAATCTGTATGCGTGCATCTATTATATGAAACAGATGAAGAAGTTTCACTGGTCTTGTTCAAGTAGGAAAATCACTGAAGGGAAAATTGCTCTTTCTTTGTTTTTGAACGATTTCACATCATGGACACACCTGAAGCTTAGGAAATGTTGCATTCAATGCACGAGTACTTGACAATTTCTGAAGCCATTCATCATTGCTCATTCTTCTTACAGTTTTACTTTTTTCATCGAGAATGTAGGATCTCGGCCCTTGTCTATCATAAAAAACAACCCCATCGCAATACCGAATCGCTACTTCCAAAACCAATCGCTCAGATTGTTGGATAGGGTAAAAGTCTATGTTTATCAGGTTTCTAGGAGCGTCTGTAAACTTGCCCTGCTTTGTCAATATAGTCAGATCAGTCTCAACCTTCCTGTAGATACTCTCTATAAAGGATGCCTGACTCACGTGTAGCTTGAAACCAACAATGTCTGCAACCTTTGTTTGATACCCCCCCCCTGTGACAACTTTCTTTTCGTTAACACCCAAGTAGTATGACCCGCCTTGAACCAGCTTTGACATAGAAGTTATATTGTCTTTCAGCTTAAGAGTGTGCCAGATATGATCAGTCAGTTTTCCCACATCAGCTCGTTTCCGCTGAATCTCTTCAGTGTTGTCTTTAAATGCTTTCAACTGTATATGTCGATTCTCATGAAACGTTTTCACATTATCTGGCAGGTTCCTAAGAGAAGCTTGGTTCTTCGTATTTGTTTCTGTTTTATTCAATACTTCAATAAGGTTCAGTGATGTTACAACCAGGTTCTCATTATCATTGTTTGCCTTAGTGTTGAAATCAACTGTTGCTACACCAGCTGTCTCGTTAACGTCAAGTACAAGAAAGTCACACGCGCCTGTGAATTTCGGTTTCTCGCTGAGGAAATATCGTTCATATGAGTCAGTGTACAGTTCCCCACCTTCCAACAAGTTTGTGAATGTATTGACTACAAATTCATCAAAGTATTCGAGACACTTATCTTCTGGTGATATCCCCTCCAAGTGTACCAGCAACACTCCCCCGCCACTGTTACGTAAAGCTGACACAGCTTTTGCTACTTTTCCCAGAACTGATGATTTTTCTTTGCTTTTCTTTCCCCTTATGATGCTGTATTCTGCATGTAGTTGTATCTTAGCGTGCTGACGACCTCCCTTGTGTTCGTCTTCGTAACTGTGTCCTATTGACGCGCAGACTTGGCATCCAACTGCAACATAAAATTGTCATGATTAAACTTCGAACATCTGTATATCACCGAATACCAAACATATTCATGATATACTATTTCGAACTGGAACAGGTACGAGGAACTGGTTTATATAATAATTCAGTCCCATTCACCCAGCAATATAATATACAATTTAGTAGAATATTTCAACATGAAAACATGCTGCAAATATTGCATTTGAAAATGACCATGTGCACATGGTAGTAATGGAAAGTCCCCATTGGACCTCATTTCCCACCAATGCGACCATTTCCCACCAATGTGAAGGGAATATATTAGTCCTTCACCAGTTCATAAAACAGTGATAATACAACAGACACAAATGTACAGCAAATTTAATTAGCAGTTTAAAACAAAAGATTATTGTATAACAATGCTGACTATGGAAACTTATCCAACACCCAGTTGGATAAGGATAGGTTGTCATAACCTATTGCTAACGGTAAGGGGCAAACATACTCGCTGGGATGGCCAGGTTTTCCGCATTGCGTATCATCATACAGCGGGTTTGTGAATTGTATACCTATGATTTCAATCATTGGTTTGTCTAATCCAGACTTGACGGTTTTCAGACACACTATATTTGTGGTAATCAATTCATATTTTACTTGATCATATTTTCTAAATACAATAATCAGAATATATGTCTCACAAGATAATCAAAGTATTGTAGAACCAACGCCTGGCGTATTCTTACCTTAAAGTAAATAAAGCGACAAGACCCTTTACATATCCAATAGAAAGCATTCATTAATGCATTCATACATATCACCTACATCCAAATTTGTAAGTGCTAATACCTGTCAACTCTTCTTCTTCACTCTCAAAGGTGTACATGCCATCTGTAAAAAAAAAAAAAGAGATGCATTTGAAACATCGTCATGAAGCATACACCCTTAAGTTATATTTCATAAGTAGATGCCCCAAAAAGATGCTTTGGTCAAATAAACTATGCCATGCAAAATACTTCTCAACTCACAAACACGTATACTTGTAACTGTGGACGTTCCTGTTTTCTTTGTTCTTGAAACGTCACATGCTACCGGTAGGCCATATGGACACATGGTAGCAGTCAACTCACGACAGGTACTACCGGTAGGCCATATGGACATATGGCGGCAGTCAACTGACGACAGGTACTACCGGAAGGCCATATAGACATATGGTAGCAGTCAACTGACGACAGGTATTACCTGAAGACCATATGGACACATGGTAGCAGTCAACTCACGACAGGTACTACCGGAAGGCCATATGGATACATGGAGGCAGTCAACTCACGACAGGTACTATAGGTAGGCCATATGGACACATGGTGGCAGTCAACTCACGACAGGCGCTACCGGAAGGCCATATGGACTTATGGTAGCAGTCAACTCACGACAGGTACTACCGGAAGGCCATATGGACTTATGGTAGCAGTCAACTGACAACAGGTATTACCGGAAGACCATAAAGTCATATGGTAGCAGTCAACTGACGACAGGTATTACCGGAAGACCATATGGACACATGGAGGCAGTGAACACACGACAGGTACTTTCGTTTGCCATATGGACACATGGTAGCAGTCAACTCACGACAGGTACTATCGGTAGGCCAAATGGACACATGGTGGCAGTCAACTCACGACAAGTACTACCGGAAGGCCATATAGACACACGGAGGCAGCCAACTCACGACAGGTACTATAGGTAGGCCATGTGGACACATGGTGGCAGTCAACTCACGACAGGAGCTACCGGCAGGCTATATCGACCCATGGCAGCAGTCACCTCACGATAAGTGCTTCCGACAGGCCATATGGACAACCGAAAGGCATTCATCTCACGACAAGTGCTACCGGAAGGCCATATGGACACATGGTAGCAGTCAGCTCACGACAAGTACTACCGGAAGGCCATAAGGACACATGGTAGCAGTCAGCTCACGACAGGTGCTACCGGTAGGCCATATGGACACATGGTAGCAGTCAACTCACGACAGGTGCTACCGGTGGGCTATATATGAGTGAGTGAATATACATGGTTTTACGCCGCTTTTAGCAATTTTCCAGCAATATCACGGCGGGGGATGCCAGAAATGGGCTTCACACATTGTACCCATGTCGGGAATAGACCCCGGGTCTTCGCCATGACGAGCAAACGCTTTAACCACTAGGCTACCCGACAGCTCCGCTAAATATACGACAGTTGCTACCGGAAGGCCATATGGACACATGGTAGCAGTCAACTCACGACAGGTGCTACCGGTGGGCTATATGTACACATGCTGGCATATGTTAGATGGCTAAGAATAACCTTCAGTTTATTCATTCATGTTACTCAAGTAGGAATACAAAAAAGCATTTGAGTTCATTTGTTTGTTTGTCACTTTAACTACCAAATAATCAGTTTGTATATTTAAAAAAGCTCACCATGACCAGCACCGTTCATTCTTCTGCATTATGTTGTTTTACCTCACCACACCCTGAAATGTAATTCATATTAGAGAAATGAATTTGGCGTCAACAAGATTTTAAACCCGAATTATATCTACAGATTTTTGTACATCGATTATTTACATATTATGGGTGCTGTACCGACTGACATGATTTCACTCCTGTCGGGGTAGAATTGGTCCCCAGAAATATATGTGCTTGTCAGGCTACTATGACTTGGTTGAGTGCATGTCATCGTACCCGGCGTCGTCTCCCGTTGCTCATTATATTAATCACTGGTTTATCCGATCAAAACATGGTTATTTACAGACTACATATATATATATATATATATATATATATATATATATATATATATATATATATATGGAATATTAAAGAATATGGTATGACGAAGACATTCACTCCCATACAAAAGAGAAGGAGGAACAAGATGCCATATTAAAATTTACATGCCAAATGTCAAAATGTTACATACGGGAAGCCAATCATACATTTTAAATTTATAACTCTAATATCTAAAACTGTAAATGCATTCTGAACCATGTTTTGAACAAGTCTAATGACTTCTACCAAAAAGGTAAAATTTTCAGACATGTTTCTCAATATCACGTATGGAAGTCACCAATGACCTGATCAGTTCTAGAACATTTTTGTCTTATATACTATCCCAAAAGTGAAACTGTGCATTGGAACTATGAAAATAACTAAAAAATCATAAATCATAATAACATGAGATTTAATCCCAGATATATGTGGGTAGTAATGGTAACAATTCGGAGGACCTTGCCCAATGAAATGTTTTGACGTTGGATGGACTTGGGCATTCAAAACGTTCACATTTCCACTTGCTTTACACGACTCCACGGACTACGACGCCATGCCAAGATTGACTACAGATGAACGGCACATGACATTAGGTATGTTGTCATCTGGTACCACTCATCGCAAGGCGGCACAACGGTTTAGTTGCCATCGTATCGCGATATCAGCATTAGTCCGTTGATATGCACATCGGAATGACGTGATAGACAGGTCACTTTTAGGCAGACCGATAGTTACCATTCCTGCTCAAGACCAATGGATCCAACTCACTCATCTGCGCAATCGGCTTCAAACTGCCACAACAGCCGGGAGCATTCCCAACTGTAGGCGGATACATCCCCAGACCGTCATTAACAACTTAAGAAATTACGGTTTAGGTCCACGCATTCCAGCAATACGTTCTATTTTTGATTCAACGTCATCGCCAGGGTCGTCACCAATGGTGCCGACGGCATCTCAGGCATCGTCTATACTGGAATAGACATGTGATGTTCACTGACAAGTGTCGTTTCAACCTGTCGTCATCAGAAGGCTGTCAACGTGTCTATCGACGTCAAAATGACCTCTACACAGATGCATGTGTTGTGGAGAGGAATCGCGGAGGCTCTGTCATGGTCAGTGGACATCACAGCACGTTACAGAGCACATGTGATTTTCGTTGATGGTTATTTGAATGCCATTAGATACCGAGATGAAATCTTAAGAACTATTGTTCTTCCTTTCATCCAACATCATGGTCCCGGCATCATCCTACATAACACAACGCAAGTTCACACACAGCACGCAATGTTCAGCAGTGCCTCCAACAAAAAGGTCGATCCTCCTCCCTGGTCAGCAAATTCACCGGACCTTTCACCGATTGAACAAGTCTCTGACGAAATTGATCGTCGACTTCGACGTCAACCAAATCCACCTGCAACACTTTTGGTTGGTTGGTTGTTTAACGCCGCAATCAGCAATAAATATGTCTTCCATCTTGGCAGCCCTACACCTACTTCGGTTGCAAGTTATGAACTAGGTCCGTGCTCTGTACGAGTTAGAATATATATATATATATATACTATGTGTGTGAAAATCATCAAAAGATAATGTTATTTTGCAGCAAGTATTTTCTTATCAATACAGTTTAGAAAAAAAGAGGTTCCGATTGCTGGTCAATGCGTGTTCAGCTGTGTATGGGGAAACCAAAATTTTCGCCGTAAACAGACATTTTTGTATTTAATAAAAGATAGACTTGCAGCAATTGACCAGCAAGAATGGTTTGATAATATTTAGCCTTGAATTGAAATGAAACTTGAATTGTATAAATTAGTCAAATTTGAATATTGCTTTGAAGTGTATTTATCGGCAGTGAGTATATCTGCTGCGTACAGAATAACATTGGTAAAGTTCCGATGTTCAGACCATATTCTTATGATTGAAAAGGGCAGAAAGTTTGGTACACGAAGAAATGAGCGGCTTTGTCTAGGACGTGTTACACCAGTAATTGAATCTCAGTGTCATTTTTGTCTCGTACATTCTATCATGACTTGAGATGTAATTTTCAACTTTTGCCGTCGTCACGCAGTATATTTGTCATAGATTGTTTAGCAAAATATGTTTTCATTGGTATGAAACAGCATTGTAAACTCTTGGTTCAAGATGCATCTGTATAACCACATATTTCCTGTCCATGTTCTGTATAATGGGAGGTGGGTGGCCTCCTTACTGAACTCAACTCACTCACTCTATTCACGAGATTTGGCACCGTAAGATTTCTTACTGTTCCCAAACCAGACGGAAGAACTGTCTGGCGAGCATTATGCAAATGACGATGACGTCATTTCTTCTTCATTTTTCACCAGACTGAAGCATTCTAAACCTGTGGGATACAGCTGCAGGTACTTCGGCATCGTTGGCCGAAGTGTGAAGAACTTGGAGAGGATTATGGTGAAAAACAATTCCATCAATGCCGTCCATCAAGGTTTCATCAACCTTTCGTAGGATATGTGATGCAAATGATGTTGTGCCTATGTTGTCATAAGCGTATCAACTGGCCAAATAATGTTTTAACTTTAAAGTGAAAATGAGTTAGATCCGTGAATCAATGTAGTCCCAGGGTATCTATGAACACTATGCATATTTAGTAGTTCATACATCATACCCAGGAATGTACAGCATGAACAAAGAAGGACGCCTCACTGTCAGTGGTGACGTCTTATATCAGCATGTTTTCTTAAACACAGGATTTATTGAAACTGACCACATGGCGCGAGATCTCCTCCTTTCTGAATCGTGTAATGTATACATCCCCCAATACAAATAATACGAACTCATGTCAAACCCATTTACGCTTACTGAGACTATATTTCAAGAAATCGAGTTTACTTTGAAAGAACAAGACTTAACATTCATGCCATAACGCTTGAGTCTCTGTCTGTCTAAATTACGTCTTGTCCCGATCTTGACGACACAATTTTAACTTCGTTCTCAGGAACGTACATTGTACATGCATGTAACAACCCTTACGCAATACATAGCATAATATACTGAGGCGCAAGTGAACGTGAAGGTGAAGGTGTGGTAAGGACCCCATTTTGCCCAGTGGAAATTTCAAACTACAACTAAGCTTTAAAATTCTTGATTATGTTTTGACAGTTGATATCACGATATAGTGAGAAAGGCCAATTAACGACCTTCGAGAGAAAATATAACTTTTTGCAACTGCGTGACTGAAGCCGAATATTTACCATATGTTCGTATTGTGATTATCTATGTTGTCACTGACATAATGAGGTACCTTATACGACAGCTTGGGCAATGAAAAAGGTTCACTGAAATCCTCAAATGTCTTTCATAACACATTTTAGCCTGACCTCTAATAATTGAGCCTTGCCACACCCGTAACAGTTGCACTAGTCATTGCCCGACATGGGTACAATGTGTGAAACCCATTTCTGGTGTCCCCCGCCGTGATATTGCTGGAATATTGCTAAAAGCGGCGTAAAACCATACTCACTAATTCACTCACTAGTCATTGCTTGGATTAGCAGTTTGTTGTCCCGAATGAAACGATTCGACAAGTGGGCTTGCTGCATGTGCAATGTATATATATCACATGTACCTAGTATGTGCATTGTGGGGTCGCTCTTTCTCCAAGGAATACCATTTAAGTGATATCAAGAGTCAAGATCGGGGTCGGACTATATCAAGGTCCGTCAATACCCGGTAATATATGGTACAGTTTGTGATGTTACGAGTATACGTCGTAAGCATATGTAGTGGTGTTGTCGTCAACCTCATCTTGCATCGTTTGTTGCCTCGACACCAATGTCTTTTGGCAATGTAAATGAGACTCATTCGGTGACTTCTACAGGATTTTAATACTTCCTTAGTTTGACTCCTTAATCTGATACAAGCACCATTTGGGTGAGCATAGGTCTTTTGTATATTATGTCATGTAATCACCAAAGATGATTGATACTATCACTACACCAACTGAAATCATCTTTCAGAGAAGGTGGTCAGGGACGTTTAGCATGTTGAACATATTGGTTACACTTACCCTAATCGTACAAGGAAAAATAATCCATTTTCTTCAGTATAGCACTGTACAACGCCACAACCTCGGTCCGAGAACACACACACGACCGCATCACACCTTCTTATTCCACGTATGAGCCACGGCAGGTTTACAGGTTCTATTTCAATGCAGCGTTGTGCAAGATCTGCACGGAATGCTGTCAGCCACACGAGAAACCCCTGTCTGCATTGTGAAGAGTGTATATTCTGAATTGGTTGAACTGTAATGGTATGATGTGTTGCTCCTATTCGGTTATATGTAAGGCTGGTATAGGGTGAGCTCGTGGTATAGCCTTAACAAAATTACGTCACAGTTCTTTCAAGAATATCTCCCTTCATGCAGGGACTATCTCTTGAAATCTACTAGCTCAAGATTACTTGTTAATAATAGTAACTGTACGTTTTCTCACTATAAACTATTTGCGGTGAGTATTGGCCACTCACTAAAATAGAAAGAAACACCTTCCTGCTTTGTTCAGTTTGTGTACATGTACCCAAGATCTCATACAATGATAAAACTGATTGATTGAAACTAATGTTTCACCTGGTGTCATCACTGACCATCATATTAGTTAATGCTTCATTGACTTGGCTTGTCATGGTATCACAATTGCGTAGATTGATGCTCCAGATGTCCATCACTGGGTTGTCTGGTCCAGACCAGATTTTTTTCAGACCTCCATCACATTGTGGCGTTAAACCAAAAAACAAACAATCATTACAGAAATGATTAATATAAATATGATTATGAAACTACATGATTACAATTACACACAAAGAAATAGGTTTGTACTTCTTCTACAGCATATAAATATACCGTTGTGGCATCGTGATGACATGACGCCACATCAGTCAGTTTGACGTATTATGAACATGCCAATCAAACGCATCTTCTCGAGGCAAGGGAGTTAACTGACAATAAAAGTCCAGTTTCCACCCTTGCCGAACTTGGCTGGTATTATGGAGTTATATTTTGGCTGGACTAACGAGTCTATGCATAGTCCAATCAATATCGCGCAACGACATCGAAATCCTGTTCGTAATCTGTCGTGCAGATTTTGGTCGGTTGCAGGATTTGCAAAGCATGTGCACCGCCAACTCGTTGTCAGCAGATATTTTCCAAATCTGTTCATGTTTTTAATCAAGGTGCTCACGTGATTTTATTGACTTCGCTATGTAAGACCCGTTTTATTACAATATCGTCTTGATTTGGCGCCGCCATTTTGTTTGAAGCAAATACAAGTGATATAGGAGGTGGAATCTGATTGGTCCATGGTAGATGCATAGAAGGGGCATAACTCGTAATAGCCACTGGCGGCGCTACGATCGAGCCCAGGAATTCAAGTCTTGTTCGGCAAGGGTTGGAAACTGGACTTTTAAAGTCAGTTAACTCCCTTGCCTCGGGAAGATGATCAAATAAAGTTTACAATAAGAGAGTATAAATTGTAATGATAATTACAAACAAATAAATCGGAGGTCGTGCATATGATAATCATGCTGTTATGCCATTCTGCATAAAACATCTCCACAGAGAGATTGTAAGAATATGCACATTCACCGTATTCTATGCCAAAACCCATGAGTCAGATAAATCAGGCTGTGAAATACTATTCCTGCATAAGACACTAAATATATTAGTTATAGCCAATTTTGGAGAGTGTCTAATGGGTCCCGGGCTTCAGTCTGTTGTAAATATCTTCTGTGTGCCCTGTTTGCCCAGTCATGCTTTAAAAAACGAAATATAAGGGCCTTTTCGGCACACTGAACATGTCACATTTTGAAGTTAGGAAAGTTATCCGACATATTAATATGGCTTACAACTAGCTATAATTATATATGTGTACTTTCAATATGCAGTGTATTTATTGAATAATGATGTGTATGCCAGACATGCCATGGTGGATAATATCTTTTACATTCATGTATAAAGGATTCTTTTCATGTCTTTCGTGAACACTTTGTGTCGTTACTATACGATAGTGATTCATAAACACATGCTCATGACAGAGTCGGAATCGTACAATCGACTCTGCTTTTAGCAGTGATTTCTAGTATTGAATATGGAAAAAGTTTCGTCGTTTTTGTTTAAGGGAGTGCTGTGACGAGGTGACCTGGTTCAAATATTTACGGTTTGAGATACAACAGGTTTAGTTACACTGTAAGATTGAATGTTTGAATTGATATGTGTCTCGACAAAGACGTACATATAATATGAATCTCAAAACGTAGCCGTCTTATCAGTAGATACACAAACAGACTAGCGCATTACATATTTCACTCCTTCATAGTTATCTGTTCAAAGGCGTAATATACGCAGTCTTTGCGGCATTCACGAGTAACGCTGAATGTGACTGAGGGTGTTTTGCATATAGAACGTATACATATACATACGCCGGATAGAGCATATACATGTATGTGGCATATACTCTGCAAGAAAAGAAACGCACAAGTAGCAAAATCGTAAACATCTGTCAGAGTGTTGCCGACATCTATACGAAATTAATACCAAAATGAATTGGTCACTTCTGTATGGATTCGGGTTAGTTTTTGTGGAAAGAGTGAGGTATCTCAGAATTTTGGTGAAATGATGGGGAAAATCGCAAAAAACACAACCACGTGAGAGCCTGGCGCCGAAACACATCAACATGACATGCACGTGCAACATCACGTGTTGGGCTATAGAATTGTTGGGTTTTTATTTGCATGCCATCACAATCATACAGCCAGTGAACTGCGAAAACATGCTACGACTGACTGAAGCCCAACACAACAACGCCACTGGCCGACTGCAAACAGAAGCTTCTTCAGTGTCGCCATGTTTTTCCAAGTAGCATCAAAGCACCATTACACGACCAGATCCGGTCAGTCACTACTAGAGCACAGGACAGATTCATACGGCTACGTCACTTACGTGAAAGAACCACCCCGTCACCTTTACAACTATTGCGAATACCAGGATTGCGTGTACCAGGATTGCGTAGGATATCAGCCCAGACAGTGAGGAAATGTTTTCGCGCTGAAAGTATTCGCGTAGACGACCAGTTCGAGGTGTCATTTTGAAGGATCATCGCTGCATCTTCGGCTATACGTCAGTGTTGTCAAGGTCAGAGAGTGTGGCCACAACTGCGATGACAGTTTAGTGACGAGTCACGCTTTATGCTTCGCCGTGCGGATGGTAGACGTCGTGTTTGCAGGCGTCGCGGGGAACGTTATGCACGAAACTACATGCAGGAAGTGAGTGAGTGAGTAAGTAAGTATTTAACGTTAGCATCGACATTATTTCAGCCATATAGTCACGAGACACAGTTAATTTATTCACAATTGAGTCATCTATGCAAAGTAATATTTGGAAACAATTTATGAAACCTATTTGAGCATAACAATATCATGTATACAGTTTTAAAACACGGGCTATAAGCCACCAGTAATCAAAGCTAGGCCACCTCGCTGGGGCTCGTGGGGACTTATAGTACTTCGCGATTGGCTCCTGCATGATACCCATCAGGATTTACGTCATCACGTGCACTTTACCTACTGATGGTTGTGCAAAATGCTATCAAATATTTAAAAATACTCGGCAATGAGTTGACTTAAAAACACTGGTTGATGATAGTTACATTGATTATGATTGGATTACGTGTCATACAAGGGGGACCATAATTTCACAATACTTTAACCTCCTGGACAGAGCCTTCAATAATGTCAGTTGATATTAGCATCACACCAAATTTAGAAACAAGCATTTAATTATTCACATACATATTTAAAATTTATTATACAGACCAATTTCTTAGGTAATTTAAGATGAGATGCCCGCTAACACGGGAAAGGGGGTCTTTCAGATTTACGCCTTGATAATGTTAATTCCGTGCGATTGCAAAGTCCCCACAGTCAAGCAATAAATGCTTGATTGTGAACCTTTTACCACAAGGGAACACTTTGGAGGTTCATCCTCGTCTGTCTTCATCAGATATTCCTGCATAAGCCGTCTGTGGCCAATACGACATCGTCGTAGAACGACCTCGTCATGTCGTGACTGACAATCCAAGTAGGTATGACCGACTGCTGGTTTAAATTAAGTTTATTGCTTCCTACCTGGGTGTACCACCTCTTTTGCATGTGATCCCGAGTAAATGGTTGGTTTGAAATCACTGTACGGGATCAGTAGTGGAGATAATGGTTTGTTGTTGAATATCTGTCAAAGATGTTAAAATAGCTTTGGCCTAGAATGTACTAGAATTTGGGATTCGTGAGGAGACAGTTCTGGATCCAATGACGGTGGCACTTGCAAATTTGCTGCCATCTTTGGTCCTGTCTGTAAAAATGGACCTGTGAGAATTATATTTTGTTGGTAATTGGCTGTACGCTTATTGATGAACCAAAGGATTTGTTTCAGATTTTTTTAGTTGGGTTAGAGTGAGGTCTACCTCCTGTTACACTGTCAGCCAGGGAGCGGAATACAGATGACGGTAAGGTGATGTAATATTAAGACCTATTTTAGCTGCACTAATGTATAGCTGAATTCGGATTCCAAGTGGTGGAATCAAGTTGGACAGATTTCGAAACAGGTTTTCATTTGAGGGTGGAAAACGCAATTGTATGCTGGATTTGATTTATTTGAATGCAATTTAGTAGACATTTAGATAAGATATATTTTTAAAAACCAAAAGGGTGCGTGAAATATGCACAGGGCATAGCATGACATACCGCCCGTCTTTGCAAAGTTAGGGTCGAAGTGTGTGTTGGACTAAGGAGCACTATTGCTGGTTCTGTCGTCCTCAACCACAAGACTCCCTTCCTCTGCCGACACAGAGTTGCAGGCAATGGCAAACAGGCTGCCGAATTCCTTCGCCTCTTACGAGCAGCAATGGGGTGCTGAGGACACATTATTGTTTATCTTCCCTGGGTCCCGATGGGGAGCATGCAGGAAGTTGACAGATTTGATGGTGGTAGTGTGATGATGTTGGCAGCCATCTACTACACTGACAGAACCGACCTGGCGCACGTTTGGGGGAATTTAACCGTTACAGGGAAGAGATTCTTCGGCCAAACGTCCTTCCCATTATGCAACACGCGAACGTCATTTT